AAGTACTCTGGTAGAAGCGTATTGCAAATTCTGAAGTTATAAATGAAGACTTACCAATGACATCTATGCGGCTCTTTCCATTCCTTAGTCTACCGACTTAATTTTCAGTAAAAAAACTTTCATTCGCTCATTTCTTGATTTTAACATCAAGCAAATTATAAGCTCCGTGATTAAAACAGCTATCTGATAGGGAATGTCTATTTCGTTTTATTATAAATGCAAAAAAGGTGCAGGATGAGCTAAAATGGAGGTAAGAGTTAGAAACTCTGGACACCGCCTGTCGACATTTGCGTACTTTGGGTAACTGGGTCAGGTCACTGCGGGACCTCGTTGCGTACTGTTCTTGCCTCGGGATGGATCGAGATGAGTGATTGTGTTGTGGCCTGGGATGTTGCCTCTGCCCATACGAGCAACATTTCTAAACTTTCTTAAATTCATAGCTTGCAAAAAAATTTCCCATTTGGAAGTGATTAGTTGCGCTGTCGATAGCAATTTGTGCCATTTTGTGCTTTCCGCTTAAATTTCGCCTCCCACTTCTCTGTTCTGGTTACACCAATGCATCTATTGCAAACTTTTCCCCATTCAAACTATTTTTTGTGTTTCAGACGTCCTTTTACGCTACTTAAGCGTTATTCCATCCTAAATGAATTATTTAAACTTTTTATTTCTGGATTTCGCAACGGGTCCGGCAAAGGTTAAGCTAATACAAAAAAATTTTATTCCCAAGACAAGTAAACCCATTTATCCTGTAAACTCGCTTTCGCATCAACACGTCGTAAAGTATAAGGGGTATTAGAATTTGGAAAACGCAAGTTTATTGTTGCTATTACTTTGAAGTAGAAAAACAACTTAACACGCTAGTCCATCTTCATACTCCTTTTCACGAAGAAGGGGCAAAACCGCCAAATTGTTGATACTTTAGGGTGAAAAATACACTATTATTACTATTACTTACTACCCTTTTGATATGGAACTCTATACGTCATCGTATGCTGCTTTCCATCCGTTTGGTTTTTTGCTGAATTTCGGTTAATATGCAGCCTTTCGAGACTTTCCTAGAAACGATGAAAGGCATAATACTCAGTTAAATATATATTTGTCATACAGAAGGTACCGAGGCTACTAGCATGACCTGAAGGCCAGCCCATCCGGCGTGGTCCAATGGTCAAGTCAAGAGTGGCCCCTCATCAAAACCGTGAGCCCCTCTCCCATTTTGAGCGTCGTCCCCGGCGCTCACCTTGGTCAATCTCCCACGTGAGCCATCACAACGTAGCCGGTGTTGTGGGAAAAACAGCCACCATCCATCCACGCAAGTCATCAAATTCTTGTGCAAATGAGGAGACGCTTGACCGCAGCGTCACTGATTGCTCTTGTTCGCAGCTTGAATTAGAAACGCTGGCTCAAAAGCAGATTTATGCAAGGGAGAACAAAATTTAACACAATTACGTTTGGGTAGAGCTTTGCGTATGTTTTTCCTTGCCACTTTGTTCTCACTTCACAAATGCCCAGCAACATATCCTTCTGCGATCCATTCAACTAATAGAGAGGTAGAGGAGATATCAAGACTGCACACTGTACATACCTTTGTACAGACACGGTGGGCAACCTCATAACAAAAATTTTACAGATGGTTCACGGCTAGTGTCGTCTCTGCTGTTATTAGCTTTCCTGCAGAAAACGGGACCTGGCTATTTGCCGAAGGTAAACGCCAATTTCAGCCCTTTTGTTTGGGGTCGCCGATACCCCCATTCGTGACACATGCCCTTCTTCCACCCTGCTGAGGTTTATCACCCACCAGCAGAAGCCAGAAGAAATGTCCTATAAAATCGGATTTGCTTTTCTCTGCTGTCATTGAAAGCACTGATTGCCAGACTAAATGGAAATACTAATCTTGTCAATGAACCGGATTTGTCTAATAGACTCGATTATGAGTAGAAAAATCAAAGAGCTTAATCCAAAAAAAAAACCTTAGGCAGATCACTTCTGACCTTTCTTCGCTGATCATTTGGTTAATCATTTTATCCATTCTTGCCATCTCCAGCGAGTCCTAATCCGTCTCCTCATTCATAAGTCATTGTATTTATCAGTAAATGTTTTTCCCAAAAATATACTAAACCCTATTCAATCTTCAAACTATTAAACGATTTTGATCAGTGGATAAAATAATAGCATGTTTGGGTATTGATGGCATGGAGTTGGAGTAAAACTTTAAACACTACCACCCTTAAGTGTGATTCATTACAAAGTAAGACAGAGGCATTCATTCATTCATTCATTCATTCATTCATTCATTCACAGTTTTCGGGGTTTTTCACACTCATCTCTGACTGACGACGCCATTTGCATGTCACATTCATCCATCCATTCTTCCATCCATCCATCAGCCAATCAAATCATTAGGTCTTTTTCCAAACACCACGTACGGATCGTGTTATGTTGAGTAGACGCTTATCCTCTCATCTTTTCTAAAAAATATTATTCGCATAATTAAATATTCGAAATTTTGTTAATGTTGTTGTATATTTCATTTAAATGACTGCCAAAGAATGCGTTTCATCTCGAAGGATTGAGGACTGCGTCGCGAGTTAGATTGCAGGAACTCTGGTGGATGTAGTGGATAAAAGTGGAATGTCAGATCACGTATTTGATCCCAAAAACTGTGCTACAATCATGACCAACTTGGCAGTCTAAGTTTGCTAGCAGAAATCCAGATTTTTCTGCATGAGAAAAACATTTGTGCACCAAAGTGTTCATGAAAAAGCTCGCTATCACCACATAGAGAAAAATAAACCTGACATGCAGAGCCAGGTAGTTAATTTAAAGATCGGCTTTATTAATGCCAATCGCTTATCTCCAGAATGTAAAAAATCGTGGACGTTTTCGTGGCTGTCACATTCAATTGATGCTCTGTTCCATAAACCGGGGGTGCTTGTTGGCCTGCTGACCCAACCTGTCACAATCAATCATAGGGAAGTTGAGAAAACACTCCACTTGCCCCTAGCTATTTCCAAGTCAACATTTTTTTGCTTCTCATTTATCGTTACTCTTTTATTTGGGCAAGCCATAGAACCGCCATAATCGCTATTCTAGATTTCCACTTAATTGGAAACACTAACGCATTTTCAAGTTGTTTTGTGAATGACATGGTGGAAGTGGACAGCCCATAAACGCCTTTCGGGAAACATTTTTAAACAATTTGTCAATTTTTAATAGAGAAAGCAGAAATATATCTCCAAAATGATTTAATGGAACCAAAAGTTTCGGTTGAGGGAGGGGGTGGGGGGTCATCTAGTTCCAGGTGGTGCATTTCATCGTAAAACACGTAGAAGAATTACCAGGAAAGTGTTTTACATATAAAGGAATATTTAGATCATTTTGACCACCCTTAAAAATTTCTTATCATAAGATAAGGTAAGTGAGTCGGAAAAAGTTAATTATAAAACTATGAACTCACCTACGGTTGTCAAACACTAAAGCATCGGTGACACCTCGTGTCACAGTCAGTGCTGTTGCAATGTGACATATTTTACCTGCAAAACATAAATTTCCTTTCCCTTAAAAATTAGTAAAGAAATTTCTAAATTTATTTTAAAATTAGGATGGCATAATTTTTGGCCGCGAAATCAAAATATGATAATTTTATTCTCCATACACATGAATGGTCATCAATGCCTCGTTAAAAGCAGAAAGATGATTTCACTCGGTCTCGCACCCCAAACAAAAGCTTTCTGCATAAATTATTTATCCTTCTAGAAGCTATTTTATTCATGCAAATAGACCTGACTACTTTAACCCTTATCTCCAGTTTAGAAAGCCGTAATTCGTCTCTGGCATGAAGAATTTGAAACGCGCCTACAAACTAAGATTTTGGCGATTTGAATAACAAATATGCTGTGATGCATCTCTTTTTACTTAACCAAAACCAAGGCAATGTGTTGCTAGGGTTTTGAAAGGAGAACGGGTAGAAATAAAAATGGGAGAAGGGAAGCAAATAAAAGTAAAAAATGGACTTCCTAGGTATTAATGTAAAAATGAGATAGCACTACTGAGAAGTAAAACGTTTTTAAATGATTTTTATTTGCCCTTAACTGTGTTCGAGGTTTGTTGGAACCTTAAATGGATTAAATGACATTTGCATCTTCCGATAAGTGGAGGCTGTGCTGGTGACGGCGGTAGTGGTGGCGCCAGAGGAGTGCTGTCTAGGACACGTGTATGGACCTTCCTTTGAATAATTTAGTATCATAAGCTCCCCGATTAACCTCTGCCTTGGTTGGCTGAAAAACATGCGTAGCTGGAATGCTGACAATAACAGAAAGTTGTGGTGCAGAATAAGAGTTACATTTGAAGGGTAAATCTATGCATTTTTAACGCAAAATTGCTTCTTTCGCCAACATGGTGGTCATTCTTAATGCACTACCGATAAAAGGCAGTCCTTTTTATACTTAACATACAGTTCTTTCCAAATGCTTCAAATTTTCATGAAGGGGGTCAATTATTTCCATCTGAGTACAGATAAAGTGATTCATGGATGTAGGCTGCAGCATTTTAACCTAAACAAAATGATTTCACGGGAGCAAGACCATCTGTTTACCTGTAGTAGCGTCTAAATCGGAGAGTAAATAAGACGATTGCAAATTATGAAGTATTTAAATTATTCCAAGCTTTTGTTTTTTTCAGGGCACAAACATGTGTAACTAAAATTCCTTTTTTACTTTTATGTACTTCCAGTTGCTCATTATTAGCGAGTTACATGAAGGAAGCAGTGGGGAACCGTCTACTCGTTACTTCGATTAGCCGCTTCAACTATTTTATGAAAATAGCAATTTAATAAGAAGTTTGTAAGCCATGACACGCAAATGACAACCAATAGAAATGCAGTACGCCTTGGCCTAGAGCCCACACGAACCAATCGGAGCGCCGTGCGACTGCGAGCGCTCAAACAGTAATGGTAAGCTACGTACCTATCTTCACAAATGGCTAATCATCACTTACTGAGTCCTATGGGGAGCGGACAAGTTTCAGGAATCGGACTAGGAACTATGCAGATGCATGCACCCCTGCCACCACCACCACCACCACCGCCATTTCTGGCAGTACTGAACTACGCGAATACGCCTAAAACATTGATGTCTTCCCAACCAGCACTACAAATGGCAACACAAAGCTCTTTGAACGGACCATCTGGTAAGTGAAAATACTACTTTCAAACTTGCACCTGTGATTGTTTCCAACAGATGTGTGAACATGTCACATGTCATGAGCCACACGCTGATAAGTCGGCAGATAATATCACTCACAAGAGCGGTGTGCAAATCTGTCAAAAAAAAATGTTTACGACAAAAAAAGGGATTCTTGACTTCAGTGCTTTTTAAATCTCCGCCTACAATCACATCCACTCAAACGCATTAAACGTTGTTACTTTACGGCGGCATCTTAAGTTGACAAGATTGATCTGTTTAACTATGGTCACTGGTTCAAATAGGTTTTAAAAGCAAACAAATGTATCAAGCACAGCCTAGGACAGTTTCCCTTCCCATCAAGGAAGATTAGTCAAGGTGTTTGACTTACTATTGCTCAAGCAGCTCTTAGCAAAGTAGGGCCAGTAGTGACAGTGGATTTTTCCATCCGCTGTTTCTCCCTTTTAACCTGATTAACCTTCAAACGTGAGTAGAATCTAGCCATAAACTGGCCCATCACCCTCTCACCTTAGCCATACCCACCCTCCCCCACACCTATCGCCCTCAGCCCCCACATACACATGCATACACACACACACACACACACACTCAAATCCTTTATCTCCCTTCTTAACCTGTTGTGTGTGTGTGTGTGTGTGTGTTTTAATCGAGTTAAGTGGCTGGAGAGAGTACGAAACCATTTGCTAAATTGGGTTTACTTGAAAGCCGCGGTTGCTGGCTGGAGTTAAGCCGATTGTGCCTCTGCATTGATAGTTCTAAAGAGATGAAGTTTGGCACGCCACCACACTTTAATGTCAATACGGTTCAAACAATTAAACAAACAGCTTCAACACAACGATTAGGCTAATTCATTTGCTTTTTTTTGTAAATAGTACTCCTTTGTGACATAATTGCCGTGTTTGCACTATTAATGAAAGCAACCTATAGCCCCAACTAATTGACAGGAAATATTCCGCTGAAAATCAAGTCGAAAATATTGTTTATAATATCCATTTTAGCGCCAATTTGTAGTCGATGTTCAGAGCAGGTGCATGAGAAAACCCTTCTCCTAGTATTGGATCAGTACTGGCATGCCAAGTGCCTCTACTGTTCCGATTGTGGCGTCTCCCTCGTGAATAAGTGCTTCTATCGAGACGGTGAAGTCTATTGTCGTGAGGACTTTTTCAGGTAAGCGTGTCAGAGTTAAAACATTTGAGAATGTGGACTTGAGAGGGTGTACAGGTTTATAGGCATTGAAGGAGGCGGGGGGAGGGAGGGGCTGGGAGTTGTTAATTTACTCACTAAAAACCCCGCAGATCCGACGGGTTGTCAGGGGTGGAGGTCGGAACCGCATATCCGTTGCTGTGGTCAAAGTCAAGACATTAATCACGAGCTCATTTCAATCCGGTGCAGACGACGCCCACATCTTTTTATATTTGCCTAGTTATTTGAGTGCCTTATGGGCAGAATCTGCTAAAGTATGACGATGCATGCAAGATTTTCTGAATATAGGGAGTACATCAACAATTCCTTCTGCAAAACTTACTACAGTAGGTTTATTATGACGTTGATTTAGTTCTATCAATTTCTTTAATCCAAACATGCACTCTTCCTTTGCATTGGGATTTTCCAATGTTTTGTTCTTTGTTTTCTTGTTAGTCGATGTGTTTAGTACCTCTTCGTCTGCATAGCACTCTCGTAGTGGAAACTGCTTTACCTAAGGATAACAAAGGAAATACACTATTGCCACTGTTACTGCATCCCTCTCTCCCTCCCTATTTTTCTTCTTTCCTGTTGACTTGGGTTTTGGAAAACTCAAATTCTAGTCAGTGTTGTTTTTTGTACGCCACGAGGACGAACATCTGAGGGAGTTGAGTAGAATACACTCGTTTGCCTTGGCCCCTCCCTCCCTCCTTCCCTCTCGCTTTCCTTGGATAATGGCGAGTCCATAAGCCCGGAGATGTAGCCCTAGCAACTGCCTGAGGGTGGTGTATACGCAGACTCCACTAATGACAGATGCAGACGAGGGGAGTTGGATCTGGCACATCCATACCCACACATCCACACCTACTTGCATTCCTGCATACACAAATGGAACTAATGAACTTTGAGGGAGTGCCTAAGTGGGAGTGAGAGTGACTTCTTAAGAAAGCAAACTTGCAGCTAAGGCTCACATTTTGCATTAATGAATGTCGTTTTGACTCTGACTATTCTTTAAACTTTGCGATAATTCTGTAAATACCCTATTTTCGATTGCAAAATGAATTTCTGACTTTTGAGTTCAATTTGTATAATATGGATATTATCGTAGCAAGGGAAAAGCTAACGGTGAGCTAGCAATTTTAATAATGTTGCAGTATTTACCTTAACTTCAGACCCGACAGATTTAGTTTAAATGAACTAAATCCTGTTAATGGGTCACACGTAGGTTGTTTGGGGGAAATACGCTTTTAATTATATTCTTTAGCGATTTTTAACTAATTTGCCATTCAGAAGTAAAGACAGCAAGATGAAACGAAACTTATGCTATCAGATGCATATACTATATCTTGGTCGTCGAAAGAATGAGTGTTTTACGTTTAGTAGATTTACCATTATCAAATAAAATGCTAGTGTTTCTCAAACGGCCCCCATTGGTTTTAATTCGCTTCTGCACTGATAAGTAATTGAGTCCATTTGGTTAAAGAGAAGTAATAACTTCTTTGATTATGTAAAATAATCAGTCGTATTGGGCAAAACTTGGGAACATTTCCACAATCCTATAGGGATTGTGTGTTATTTGTTATGTTCAAAATGCAGGTCACCAGACCTCAGTGCTGTTTTAAGGTGGATTTCAGTAAATGATGCTTCCTTTTGCGATACTTTTCACTCTTCTTAGCAGAAGGTATCGGAATTAAAGAAATGACAAAAGGTTTCCACTTTGCTTAAAAATAGATTAGCTTGCGTCATCTTCTACCATAGTTGCCTGTCTTTGGGGACAGTATGATTTAACTGCACTTCTTTAGGCTTCTGTCGTTTACCAAGGGATCAACCTTTCTTCCACTTCTCGTAGTTTTGGCCTAATAAGCAAACTATGCCCTTTGTACATGTCCTGGATGTATTTAGAACATTTTAAAATTCTCACTTTACTCACACATGGCTATACAAGGGATGATTTTGTAAAGTAAAAATTACGTTCCTGACACTCCTCTGCCTACAAAAGCTTTTGAATAAGTGCCCTTAGTATTCCTCATTCCTTGTTAGTTTCATTGAAAGGGTAGCCGGTTCGTCAAGTAGAATTTATTACATGAGGAGATTCAAAACTACAGGCAAAACATGGCATTTTATTTCTCAAAAATACTTATTAAGGCAATTACCTTTTAGACGCTTCGGAACAAAGTGTGCGAGCTGTGAAGAGGGCATTCCGCCGAACGAGATGGTTCGCAAAGCCCACGACAACGTCTACCATCTTGAATGCTTCGTATGTCACGTCTGTGCACGATCTCTCAACACCGGTGATGAGTTCTACCTTCTTGCTGATCGTCGACTCATGTGCAAAGCTGATTTTACCATGATCAAGGCCCAGGGTTAGTTTTGAGCGTCTTTCCCCGTAAAGCGAATCCACCATCCATCTTCGACTAAGAAGTCGATTTATGCAAAAATATTAGATATTATACCTTTTTCTCCATGTGATTTTTTAGAAATTGCTTACATGATTTTTCATTATACTTCAAATTTTAGCAAAGAATAATAACTCATGCCAGATATAGAGTCCGCCAAAATTCAGGGGTGCAGACCATGATGCAGCATTAACATTGCAGAGTTGGAAGAATATAATAAAATTTCATTTTTACCTTAGTATCAGTCCAGGCAGCTCATTTGGCAGGAAAATCCAAAGTTCAGGCATAAACATTATTTTTCATTGAGGTTAAAGTCAGTTTGTTTGCCGTCTAGTCGTGCTTATTCACCCATAATTTAGCTGTTTCCATTAGTGACATCAAGAATTTAAAAAACTAACCAAATTTGCATCTCAAAAATGAGAGGTTTACTTTTTTTCTTCACCTCAAAAATTTGAGTTTGAAGTAAGAGATACTAAATTAATACTATTATGTTTAATCAGTTACCGCATTTCCGTAAGAAGCATACACAGTAATTTGAGTACAAAAATAATGTGTGCGGCTCGATTCTCCCCTCATCTTTAGAAGTTGAATTGGAGAATGTGAACAAACGCCCACGAACAACAATAAATGCGAAGCAGTTGGACGCTCTTAAGAAGGCCTACGCCGAGGGCGCTAAGCCCTCAAGGCACGTGCGGGAACAGTTGAGCGCCGAGACGGGTCTGGATATGCGAGTTGTTCAGGTGTGGTTTCAAAACAGAAGGTCAGTCAAAAGTCCTTCTCCTTGGTCATCTTAAATAAGTCGACTTAATCCCTCAGAGAAATTGTTTTTCTTCTTCTGCCACCAGTAAAGACTTTCTCGGCTAGGAAAGAATTGACGTAGTGTTTAAGTTACATTCACAAAAGTGGAATTTCTTAAAAACCTTGTTTGGATAATCTTTAAGTGCAAAAAATTACCTATTTTAAACGAGTCTATCTCAACTACAAAGAAGAATTAACTAATCTCTGCTCCCGACGGCCAAAATTTAAGCATAATCCGTCAAAGGGGAAGTACAGATTTCTGAAGGGCTTCAATTGTGTGACTGGAATGCATTCGGACGTTGTTTGTGCTGTTCGGACGACCCGATCGCTTGATAGCCAGCCTCTGCTAAATCATTACATTACAGTGTAGCGCCTCCAGGCTTCCCTGAGGATGGTGGAAGACATAATACTCAGGCAGAATATACAATAGGGCTTGGGGCTACTGGCATGGTCCAGAGGCCAGCCCACTCGTCGAAGGTTCATTTACCAAGGCACAAAGTAGCCCTTTATTAAAATTGTGAGTTAAATAAATAACTGATGTATCACATATCCCCTCTCCTCTTTCGGGCGGCATCCCAGCGCTCTCCTTAGTCGACCTATCGCGTTATTCCACCCTCTATCCGTGCCAGGCACCTCATTGCTACGCAACTGAGGTGACACTTGACTGTAACGTCACAGACTTTCTCTTGGTAATTCAACTAGATCTGTAGTTTCATCCTGCACGCGAGATGGGTTCAGAGACAGGGAACTGCGGTGGCCATCACGAGCGTTCACAGCTAGACGTAGTTATGTCAGGAAGGAAGAGATTCAACACAGTTACGTTGGTTGTGGTTTCGCATCTGTTCCTCCTTGTCACGTTGTTCCCACTTCGGAGCTGCCCAGCCGCACAACTATCCGCATTCCATCCAACTGGTAGAAAAGTGATGGAGGTATCGCAAGTTATCTTTGTCAAAATATACACGCACGGTAAGGAGCTTTGTAATGAAACCTTTCCCGGGGGTTTGCGGCTAATGACACCTCCGTTGGCATTGTCTTTCCTGATTATAATGGGAGTGGGATAGTCGCTGAAGGCAGACGTCAATTCCAGCTCTACTGTTTAGGGTTATCACCGATTCTCCCATCCGTAGCATAGGCACTTCTTCCGACCCTCTAATGTCTATCACCCAGCATTAGAAATGAGGATGCGGTTCACTTTCTGCTGCTACTAATGTAGAGTCCGGATACTTCCCCAAAGTCAAGCGAAGATATAGTACTCGGGCAGAATATATCTATTTGGAATACTGAAGGGGTTGGAGTTACTGGCATGGCCCAGAGGCCAGCTTACCCGGAGCAGATGCAATGGCGGAGACAAAAAAGTGGCACTTCGTCCAAACGATGGATTAAACAGCCAACGTATTACAGGTGGTGGTCTCCCAACCACCCTGATCCATTCAGCTGTTTCCATTTCAGAATTCTTCTGAATGATGCATCAAAATCTGTTAAGAAAAACTCTTATGCCATCAAAGAAAAGAAAAGCAACTTTCTTTGAGGCCAATTTTCTCATAACGGTTATTTTTTTTAAATGCCATGTGGAGTCACCTCCGTTTTCCCACTTTATCCATCATACCGCATTGTCATGGATGATCACTCAAGAACCTGCTCGACATGGATTCCCGCAAGACAAAATTAAGTAGCCTTTAAACTTTCACAATTAAATGCTCTGAGGACTTTTACCATATTACAATGCTAGCTCGATGAAACGGCAGTGAATCGTAACAGAGTCAAGATTATTTGTTTCCTCGGCCTGCTGTAACAATAGCATCATAAACGTCGGTGGGCACGTAAGCCGAATGTTTAGTCCCTCCGCAAGATGAGTTATACCTACCAGTGGCCGGAGAGTGGGTGATGAAATATTCAAGAGATATGGTAATATTAATCTGGAGGGGCAGAGGATACGGTACTTAGCATCTGCCCTTCACTTTGATTCTCAGGGATAATTACCAAAATCGGTATTTTATTCTGTTTGGCGAAATATTACTAATCGGAAGATAGGTACGGACGTGGTTAAACAATGAAAATAATATCAAAGGAATAAGTCTCTCTCCTAGATTTCTTTTATCGTCAATAACTTCACTGTTGCTCTCCTCTCCGGCTCCGGGTGGAAGTCTGGCCGGGTGTTCTGCCATCTGGGATGAAATTTGCCTTTATCAAAAATGCAAAGACAATATATTTTTATTTGCAGTATTCTCAAAATCCTCGATATTTTAACTGTTTCCCGGGTTAGTGTCTTGCATAAAACCCCAATCCCCTTGTGTGTCGTAGGGGGATTTAATTAACCTCGTTGCCCCATCGTTCCTCCTTCACCTTGCCAGACCACTTTCCTTCTGCCTATGAATATTTTATTTACCTGGGCTAATTAAAACATCAGTGCTTTCTCTCCCTTTCTTTTCCTTTTTCTCCCTCTCTTACCCTTCTCCAAAATTCATTCTGCTGTCAAACGCAAACGGAATTTCACATCTGTATAGCAAATCGAGGAAATTGTAAGGTGGATGGTAGAATTATTCAAATGAGAGCTCTTCAAGCAGTCGCTTCCGCTTCTTGTGGACTTCCTTTTTCAAAAACGGTTGGCATTCTTTTCAGAGCCAAAGAAAAGCGCCTACGAAGAGATGCTTCACGTCAGACACATTGGCAGAACGAGGGAGATGCTAAACTACCTCAAGGAGATGACATTGATGATGATGATGAGCTAGATGAGGAGAACGAGGATGAGCCTCCTCTCGCTTCCAAGACGAAGACGTTGCCGCTGCACACGCACTCACAACTCCACGAACCATCATCCATCCTGGCAACCAGCAGCAGCGTTGACAGTGGAGCCGAAAGTGAAGGCGAACTCTCCAATTCATCTATTTCACATGGTAATATGTTAATGTTTACAATACTTTTAAAGCGAATACTGCTTTTGGTGGTATTCCTATACCATAACTATTGTACTTAGGTCAACAATCGGAGATGGCTGACCTCACTGCGATTCAGCATTCGCAAGTACTTCGAAATTGCATGATCAGTTGGATTCCGCATCCCACGGAGATAGGCTATCAGGAGACATTTGCGAAACCTCCACTCTGTCACTTCCCACATCCCCATGTTTCCAAGTCACAAGTGTTCCGTTGATGACACTGACTTCACTCTGTCAATTCATAGCTTACATTTTTTTTTATCAAGTCCATTCATTTAGTGTCGCAAAAGATTTTCATTGGCAAAGTTGTGTTTCATTCAGAGGATTTGTGGAATGTTACAGCCATAGAACCGTATTTGTTTAGATCAGAGGTGGAATTAAATGTACTGGATGTTTTAAAAAGCATTATACGCAAAACTGCGCGGGGTTTAAACTCGAGGATTTGGTTGACGAATAAACAATGTTACATTAGTAAATTAAATTTATAAGTTATCATCGAAAGCTGAGAAATTTTGTCAAAACTCTGTACGGTGAGTCCCTGCTAGTGAAGCTTTTAAGCAAATACGATGGAAACTTCAGCTAAATCATGTATCCATACTAATAGTTCCGGATAGGCAAGCACAATAATATTTCGTATCATGATGTTTCAAACCATTATCTTCGCAGTGCAGAGACCTTAAAACACATCGATTAGGCTGAAATGCTCTGCGTGTACATTTTTTTACCTCACAGAAAGTTAATTTGCGAACAAACAGGAACCATGAATAATATGAAATTGAAACCAGGAGGAGTTTCTTTCAAAGACTATTAATAGTGTTTAACAGATAGAAGCTGTGAAATCCAAGTGCAAAATAACCAACTTGAATATTGCACCTAATACTCTTTAAACTATGATTAAACACCGATAATGATCCGAAAACTGCAATGTAACGTGCATTTGTCCGAATACGTATTTCTGGTGACGCGCGATGACATTAGATTAATTTCGCGGCTGAGAAGGGTTCATTGGTCTCAAAGAGGAGGAGCTGGCTTACAACATTTCAGCTGTTTGTGAAATCGCTTGATGAAAGTTGGTTTCCTCCGACCAGTTTTCTCGAATGGCGAGCATTAAACAGGTGGGTTGTCGCAGTAAGTACTCAGATTCTAAGTTTGAGCCACTAGATACGTTTTTAATTATAATAAAGACAGTGTTTATTAACTAAAAACACATAAATGGCTAATTTGTCTTCATGGATTAATAAATCAATCATTTTATCAACAGCTTTTCAAAAGTTGCCTCAATCGGAAACATATGGCAACGAATATATTTGAATAGCTCTTAAAATCGTTTAGTGGTTTTAAAAAGGCTTCCAGATATGCGTTTAGTGAATGCTTTAATTTATTAAATTGTTTAGCTTGTTCATCACAAACACCGGCAAATTCTGAAGCATCACCTTGAAGAATGTGAGCTTTGGCGCGATCTGGCCTTTGACTCTCATTAAGTAATGCATTTAATTAATTTCACTTAAAACTGTTGTTTTTTTGTTAGTTACAAGAACTCACGATGCTAGCCATACAATTTTGGATTCCATTTTTACGACAAATTGCAAGTATTGTACTCACCTAAGATATTTTCTGTTTTAGGCTTATTTTCGGCTTTGTTTTCCCTATTGCTGCTCTTTTTTGGTTGTACCGACAGGTTTTGTTCATATATATTGATGTGAACAACCAAAAGACAAATTACGTCCCCCCTCCAATTGGGTACAATGAGAATGCCACGTGGGACTATCTGCTTCTTACTCAATCTTGGCCACCTGGGTATTGCCAGTTTATCAAGGTAATAGTGTACGTCATGGTGTCATGTTTGTCCCTCAATCTACCGCCCCTGTTTGTGTCATGGGTTCTCCAAATAATTGTAAATTTTACACATATGTATAAAGACGCTGCATTAAGTGACTTTTGCTTTTTTAGTTGATAATTGAATCGTCTTGCACGCTTTTGGCTTAAAGTGAGATCTTTGCAAAGTTCTCAAGAATAATAGAATTAACTCAGAATTTTTGTCCCAAAATCTGCTATGTATTGTACTATGCAGCGCCACAGTACTCTCATCTGTGTCGTTTCTAATTTCCCTTAACTGTCCATCTTAATTGCAGTGAAACGCAAGTAAAATAGTATCTTGGGGTATTTTCAGATAAGGGAATCAATTTTTCTTCCGTTGAGATTTCTCGTTTGTTGTTCCAGTGCTCCTATCCTCGCGTCGTTAACGGGTTTAACATTCACGGCCTGTGGTGCGTTTATTTCCTTATTCACGTCTACTGCCTAACTTTGGAGCTATCCTCACTTCCATTCTCACTTTCAGGGCGCAACTATGGCCGAATACGGAGATGAACAAGTGCGGTGATGGTCCAAAGTACGATAACAATTCCATCAAGGTACGTCAGTTAACCTTTTTACGGGACATTTCTGACGAGGCCACTCGTGACAAGTGAAGTGGTAGCAAAAACCAGTCTAGTTTTTTTCAACGTGCGGAACATTATCCTAATTAGCTTCAGATCGTTTACAAATAAATACCTTTGTAAGGCGTATAAGATCGCGGGCTTCTTAAAGTAAAATTCATCAATCGTCGCTAAGCGTCCATCTCATTTTTAAGGATATTTTCTTGGAGCTACAACGGGAGTGGGTTGACGAGAAGGGCTTCCAACATCCCTGGAAGTTTTGGTGAGTATTTTCAGAGGATTGGATTTAATCTTTATGCTCGTAATTGCTTAAATTTTCAGTATTGTTTAACTGCCTTATTCTTTCATGTTGATAATATCGGCTGCAGCGGAGCCCTAGGTTCTTCTTCACAGTATACTGACTACAGCGTGGATGAAAATTTTAAATCCCACGCGTCAGATGAATACGAGCTTTGAAATTACTAGCAAACATTGCCACCAAAGGTTTAATATTCAAGTTTTTCCCACCTCCGGTGCAAACGAACTATAATTTGGTTCGACTCTCAAGTTATTTATACGAAACAGCACCGATACATGGCCCTGTGACTTTATTTATCGCGGTTATTAAATGCATTTTATCATCTCAAAAGTATTTTTTTATTTTTTAGTCAAATTAATTGCCTGGTTTACACGTTAATATACTTTAGGGCCTGTATGCACACCTCCCTGCTTCAGCACATTGATGGAAATGGCAGAATTGTTTATTACTACCAGGATTGAGTGATTAGTTAACTTACGATTTCCCTTTTTACGTGCGTTTGTACCGCAGTGGCTATAATCCTGCTTGCATTAACTTCTCTGTTTCTACTTAAATTCAACTCCGATGTTCTTCAGTACAAAGTCTGCGAATTGAGATCTTTGTACCATTTCGTTGACATTTTTGGTTACTGTAGGCGAAAAAAATACATCAGTACGTTGGGATCTTGCCAAATTACTAAGCTCTCCTTTCACCAGGTTCTCCTAGCGATGGTCGGGCAAAAGCGGATGAAATGCTACAATAGGTTTCGTGGTCGGACCGCCTTTTGCCAACTTTTTCCATAAGTTCTTGTTACTCGATCGGATCTGGGATTACTCATTGGTCGGAGAAGAACCATTTCTTTGGTAATTAAACGTGGAATCCACGTTTGCTACTCGCCCATCCCATTCACCAGACCATTTTGGACTTTTTTTACAAGCTGAGAAGAAAAAAAAACCAAGCTAACACTTAGTAAGTTATAGAAAGCAACGTTTGTGATTCCGTCGTCGTGTATTAATTCACTGATCACCAAGAATGTCATTGTTCGAATAAATGAGACTTCATTGGGGTACAAACTGCAGTCAAATGCCGAATGAAGTTGTCTGCTACTTTCTTGAACTAATCAAACAGGATAATCTCCACTTTCTAATTAATGTTCTTTCTTATTTTGGGTGTGATATAGACATTATAATGACTTGTTGAAATTGAGTGTTTTTTTTTTGCGCTTTCCAATACTTCGGCAGGAACCATGAATGGACAAAACACGGCATCTGTGTCATTCAGAATAACAGCGTGATTACAGACCAGCATGACTACTTTGCTGCTAGTCTCAAGTTGAAGAAAATGTACAACTTCACCGCGTGAGTCCTTTTTACGCCGCAAGGCGTCGTCTAACAGTTGTAATTGTGGCTGATTGGGCTCACATTAATCGTATTTTTCGATACGGTTTCGGAGCTGTCATGACAGCACAACACGGGTGAACCAAGCTAGACAAGGACGGGGATGACAGAGTGTTTGCCGACAGAATATTCACGGTGTATTCTTTTAAATTTTAGTGATTTTTTTAGTCAAAAGACACACCAGACTGACTAGGTAGACAAAACTGCCAGGTAGCTTGGAGGATAGGTGCAGGAGAAATGAAAGAGGGCGAGTTAATAATATCCTAATGTGTGTTTCTTCGCCCTTCCATTTTTCATGAGTTTGGTCAAACGGCCCACCTTGTTATCCCCTAAATGTCCACTGAAACGAAACAATGCTTCTTTATCCTAGGATATTTGAACGGAACCATATCACAGCCTCCAATACAACTCTCTACGATGTAAGTGTTCTTCAAATGCAGATGTACTCCTCTCCCTCAATTGTCATGTAAATTGTTGACAGTATCTACAATTTTTAGACAGCCTCAGTGTTGCACATGCTAAAGCGCGATCTCGGTGCTGACGTTTGGCTACATTGTTCCTGGAAGGTGAGTGAACGTGTCACTCAGTGCTATTTTGCACGTCAGTACCCTTCTTTCACTTTGCACCTGTCCTATCTCCCAATTCCGAGGGGGCTTGTGCCTTTTTATTGCGAGAGATGAGGGCATTTATAATTCGCTCCTTAAAGTTTGAAAAAAACTATTTCCATTTCATCCTTAAGGGATTTCGGCTTATCTTTAAAAACAAATGCATCAGGTTTTCACATGACTGTCTTAATATTCACGTCCCAAGCGCTTAGCAAATGTAAAAATTGTTGCCTTTTTGACAACGGATCAAGTTTTGGGAAAGAAGGACCCATCTCTCCTTTAGCATTTGCCTATGCCCTCATCTAGTAGGCACTGCTGGGCCTAATCAGGTCCAAAGTTCGTATACCCTGTACCCCTTTTAGCTGATGGTTTTTTTGTTTCAATTCGATTTCACTTCCTCCTCTTGGTCGTGTCTTTAGGTAGACGTTTGGAACGTTACGCGTAGCAGCAGCATGGGCGCCTACTAGTCACAAATTTTGTCTCAACCTCCCCTTCTTCAAAGTGTCAAAGTTTAATGAGGAGACAATTAGCATTTGATTTGTTGCTTAGCTACGCTATTTACAATCATCGCTGTTGCTGCCTTCAAGCCGCTATGCCGGGGTCATCGTTGTTTCCGCGAGTGGCATCCGACAAAAGTGAACCTGCCGAGACTTGGGCAAATAGGCAAGAGCTAGTTGCTGGTTGGGAGGTCACGAAGGAAGAAGGTGGGAGGGTGAGTGGGGCATAGTGCAACGATTGGTTGGTCAGTGGAGAGGCTTGCCAGAAGTCGCCGCATGGATGGCAATGTAGATGGAGGTGGTGTCTGCCTAAGCGGTGAGCAGGAGAAAGGGGTTGCTGTCAAAACGGACGATGGAGGTAGTGGTGTTGGTTGTAGTTGTAGTAATTGTGGAGGCAGTAGAGGTGGAGTTGGGCATGAGGACAATGGTAATGGGAGGAGGCTCCTGAGTTTCGATTGACGGTGTCTGGCTGAAAAGGCATTGGTCAGTCGTGATTGCTGAATTGGAATTGCTTTATTGGATGTGAAGCCTTTGAGTCTAGCATGTGATGTGCCAGGCGCGTCCAAACGGTAA